AAGAGGAGGAGTGTTTTGTGTCGGAGGTCGTAGATGAGTCTCCTGGAAGAGGATGCCAGAGCGGCAGAAGCTTGGTTTGGTGTAGAAGGCTTACAGTCGTACATGTTTGAGCCCTTGCCTCGCAACGCTGCCAGTTCTGTTAGCTCTACGCCTGCTGAAGACACAGACGTCCCTCTCCATGAACACTGGGACGGAACTCAATGGTAAAGAAATGATTCTTATTTCAGCCGTTGCGTATATTAGCTGCGACATATGAATCAAGATGCTATGACCGAAATAATTTGATTGACAGAGTCCAGAGTTTAGGTGTACAAGCTGACGTATAACTAACTGGCCTGCAAAGAAAAACAAAAAAGAAGAAATTTTTGGTCAAATCATTTATCAAGCTTCCATAAGAACTCATTTACCATAAGAAATCATTTTTTAAGCTTCAAAACATGCCCAAAACTTCAGTTTTGGGCATGTTTTGAAGTGTGAAATTGCACCTACCCCAGATTTACCAAGGGTCTCTTTTCTACCTCTCTTAATGCTATTCTTATTCTTAAAACCAGACACAGAAGATTCTTTGGTCTCTTTGGAGTTTCCATTTCCAGTAAGTCTATGGCCTGTCTCTCCTTAGCTGTTTCATTATAATTACGTTGGAGCAATGAGTGTCACACCTATAGCTTTAGTAGAAGTTATCACTTGAAAAAAGAGCAACGTGAAAGCAAACTGCATTAAAAAAGAAATAAAAAAATGTCTGCCATTAGTTTGGGGGAAACAAGTGGAACAAATGACTTTCTTCTTTCTTAAAGTGGAAGCAACCTTAATAAACTGTTTGCTCTGTGTTTTGTCTAGGGGTGTGTGAGCCATAGCAATATACAAATGTACACAACAACTTCAATGTTTTTATCGCTAGAACTTTTGTGTGATTCTCTTTGTAAAGTTATGCATTGGCTGATTTATAGCAATAAATATAAATTCCTATTAATAATGTTGAAGTTTGTGGTTTTAAAGTGACTGTGAAAGATCTCAAGAGATATCACTAGTTTTACAACACAATATAAACCTCACTTATAAAAACACAGCACAGTAAGACTTTTATCAAGGCTTAATTGTTTAGACATCAAACACAGTCTGGGTTCTCCCTATATATGTTTTTGACCATATGTTTTTTCCCTTTCATTAGGTAAAGATTTTGTTAGGTTCTTTGACTCACTCAATACTCATCCTGGCCACAGAATCCAATGTGTTGAAGCCTGCTGCCATAAAATTGCTCTTGTACTGACTCATCTTTATAGAATCCAGCCAGTCGCCAACAGAGATGAACATTGGGTAATCCATGTCCTCCGCCGGGGATTCTGGTAGACTGATTGAGGAAAAAGGAAGATTAGTTCATCCTGCGTGAATTGAGACAGCAGAAAGGTGAATGTGAAAACCTGGAGATATGATACAAAGCTTAATACTAAGAACCACAAATCTCCTTCAGATTTTGCCCTGAGAGGAAAGTACTTTCCGAGATAGTAAAACCTTCACTGAACACATAGTTTGAAACTAAACAGATTTTCTTTTAGGATTTAACCAGAGCTGTACCTCTGGAGGTCCTCCACCAGCGGCAGCAGGCTGCTTGGGTTACGAATTAGTTTATCCAAGAAGGAAACGATGTCCACAAATTTCGGTCGATGATTCCTCTCCTTCTGCCAGCAGTGCAGCATCAGCTGATGCAGGGCCACAGGGCAGCCCATTGGAGCCGGCAGCCGATAGCCCTCCTCTATGGACAGAATCACCTGGAGAAATAATGGGGTGCGATAAAAGGGTTAATGGGGGAAAAGGCCACTTTGTAAAAATTCACATTGCTAAAGATTTTTTTTTTTCTTTTTTCGGTCGAAAAGGTAGAGTCCTCTTAGAGGGAGGTTTCTGTTTGCCTTCTGTATTCAGTTCATGTTCTCTGTAACGCTGAAGAACAAATCCTAGTGCTGCTTTGTTCCTTTTCCAATGTGAAAGGGATCTACGTCTAAAATGATGTACACTTTTACTCAATTCAAGTTAAGAGTGTAGCATTCAAGTATGTTAAACTATTTTAAAACATCAGAAAAGAACCGGGCTCTTAAGATTGTAATTCTGGGAAGATGCTTTGCAGCATTCGATAAAGGTCCAGCAGATTCTGCAAAAGTTTCTTTCCCACTGCCATCAGACTGCTGAACTGTTGAAAAACTCAAAATCATGTCACAGACTCTGCATTACACTGATAACACCAAACCAAAAATACTGCATATTTGCACCATTTATATTAATAATCTAAACTTCCATATCAATGCGGTTTTTGCACCATGTATTTTTTTCTACCTCACTGTTTACATTTGATACTCTGTGTATACCAAATGACATTAAAAGTTGTCTAAGTCTAAGTAATTAACTTTGTTCTTACTTTATCTATTCAATAATAAATGTGGAGGATGGATTCTCTCAGAATTGTTTATCTGTTGTTTACGTATAAGAATCAGAAAACCAGACATTAACAGGGAGAATGACTTTGATTCTTGGTTCTGCTTTTAACCCAAGAACCAGCAGGGATTGTTCTCCTGGTTTGCATCACTTTCATTTCTCTTTCTTGGCTGAATGAATCTTCAACTTTTGGACTATTAACTGTACTGTTTGTCCTGAGGTCACTTGGGAAAAGTCAGCCAGTTCTGGTCTCTGGCCCAGATCATTACTGGTTCCTCAGTTTGGATTGTAACCAATTAATAAGAGGATAAAATGGAAACTTGCTGGTAAATTTAAAAATCATCTTTCCAGCTGAGTGGAAGAAAAGCCAAAACACAAACATTGGACAAATGTAGTTGCAGACAATGCAGCCAAAAAACACATTTTCCAACTGAGTCTTTACTGAAAGGAAAGCCCAATCCATTGCTAAATGGGGAAGGATTCTGGTCATTCTGATTATTTTTCTAAATGCATTTTAAAAGCGCTAATGCAGCTGGAGTCGTCCTATGCACACTCCGTTTTCACTACATGGCCTTCTACTTTTTGGTTGAGCTGCAGTGGTTTAAAATCACTTCCAATTTTAACAAAAGACTACAGAAACTCTACTCCTACAAGTGAAAATCTATCATGGTAAGATGCTGGAATTCACTGAGATCCTGACAGAAAGCATTTTAAGCAGGGCATTCACTGTGCGATTTGTTGCCCCTTTTTGGGTATTTCTAGTCATGCGAGAATTTTCAGTTTGATCGTGCGTCGTGCAGTGTACAGGAGGTAACAAGGGGCGGTCCGCCTCTCACAACCGCATCTCGTTCAGGAATCGTAAGGTCGGAAGAAAATCAAACATGTTTGAATTTCAGTCGACCGTTGTGGGCAGTGGGCATGCGCAAACCAGGATTCTTCTTCTTCTTCCTCTAAGACAAAAAAACAGAAGCATGGCGGGGCTGCGAGTGAAATTAAGTTATTTCTGTAAAACTGACAGACCGTAGTAACCACGTTTGCAAAAATTGCACACTAAATTGCACAAATTGCTCACTCTAGTGAGCTTCATATTCCTTTTCTACTGCTTTTGCTTCCGGATAGACAAGTCCGAATAGCGCCATCTCACTGTGGAGCTCAGACTGACGGGGTTTTTAGACGTACATTGTGAGCAGGAAGATAGCATCAGAGCGTTGGGTCGCACAGTGTTAGAAAATGCATTGTGAGCTGTGAACTCACACTGTAGGACGAAACCCCACGGTTTCGTCATACAACAAAAGCTGTAGCTGCGTGCAACAAATAAAGAAATCGCATAGAGTATCCCCGGCTTTACATGAATTAATGTTGTGCGTTCATTTACAAACCTGGGACCTTAAAAGGGACTGGAAAACCTCAGTAATTTTGTTCACCGAGAGGATAATTTCTTTATATTTCTCCCTAGCTGAATCCGTCTTTCTCCAAAGTTCAGTTGACTTAAGAAAATAATATCTTAAAAGTTTTGTTAATTTCTAGATTAAAACAATATTTCAATTAATTTCCAGAACACTCTGCCTTGTATTAAACAACTTCCCTAATCTAAAGACTTTTTTTCATAAAAGCTTAACCCTTTATAGGGCAAGTTACCATTTTTGATCCCTTGCATACCCCTTACAAATGGAGTCTCCCTGTCCCTCAGTGAGGTCTAGAAGCACAAGATCTATATCCAGCCATTCAGCAAAGACACTGCTACATGGCTGTACATCTTATTTTGGCTTTTGACCAATTAGATGAGCCCTTGAATGATATATTACCTACTGTAAATTAAGTTGAGAAAGCTAATTGAAATGTTTAAAAGTAAAGTTAAAAAGTTAATAAGCCTGGTTAACAATTATATTTAGGTTTATAAACTAGAAAAATGTAAGTGCCAGTATCAGCATTAACCTTAATTAATAAGGTTATTTTGGACCAAAAACAATGTTTCCTTCACTCTCAGAGTGTTTTTCATGAATTTCTTATATAAGCACTTCTGTTATTTTTCTTAATATATTCGGGCAAGTTGGCATTTCTTGTTATTACATTGACATGAATTATTTCCATCAAAATATCACATTTTTTTGAACGTTACAAAGGTAATAAAGTATTGTCCTGGATTCCAACAACACTATTAATCATTATAATTTGGATTTTCAAAGAATTTCACTGAGTGCCCTATAAAGGGTTAACAAGGCCTAAAAAATGCAAATTTCTTGGAGCTTGAAAGTCAAAATGAAAAAGCAAAACTTAACCCGATAGAGCAAAGAGTTTCCCTCTGATAATTGACACAATTAAGTACATTTTATAGAAACCAGCATATTTTTCTTACATATGAGTCAAAATTAACGACATGCTTCATATTTACCTTACATTTTTTTAAAGATCTATTTCTAAAGCCATTTTGGTGACNGACATGCTTCATATTTACCTTACATTTTTTTAAAGATCTATTTCTAAAGCCATTTTGGTGACTTTATCTTGGTTTTCTTGATTTTTTTTTGTTGCTGTGTTCAAACTACTACAAACTACAATTTCCATGTCTACTTCTCAGTGCATCTCAGAAGATAACATGCCGTAACCTCCATATGTCATCTCTCAGATTCTCTATAAGGCGGCTGACTATCTGCATGTATCTTTTGGCAGTGTAGTGATAAGTGGCTGACCAGGAGGAGATAGCGTTAGGCTCGTTTTGTGCCTTGGCTGGCCTTTTTGCCTTGGAAAGCACTTCTAAGCAATTCCCAAACAGCAATAATCCCTCCCAAACCCTGGGATCCAATGCATGTGTATGCAGGGCGTTTTCGAATAGATGTGCACGAGTCTGTGTGCAGAGGGTCAAAGGGATTACGATGGAGCTTTCACACTGAGCGGAGAGAAGGATGAATCTGCCTCCACCGCGGTCCTTCCAATCCCTGACCACAGCCTGGGGATCAGTGGGTTTCTCAGCCACACTGATCCGCAGCTTTAAACTGGACGCTCTGAAGTCCTCAGAATCTCTGACCTCTACTGAACTTCCATTCTCTCTTCGTCATCTTTTTTCCTCCTTTTTGATGTATTTCTGTTCCTAAACTCCTGCCTCTTAGAGGCAGCATCTTGATGTGAGTCAGCTGCTGTAGAGTATTGTAAAAGCCACCAACTTTTATATCTAAAAATGAAAACATATTCCCCATTTGAGCCACACTGGTTTAGAGAAGCCAACAAAGATTCAGATACTTAGGAAACAAATCTTGGGAAAATGTAATACCTTAAAGAATGCTGAACAGAGGAAACCAGTTTTAGAGATTCCTCATCTCCTGCTTTAACACAAATTATGGAGTTTATTAAAGTCGAAACTCCAGTTACTCACAATATGATCTAAACAATCAAACATGTACTATAGAAGAAATACCAGTAGTAAGTAACCTGGGATTTTGTTATGAGATTTAAACACCTATCTTCTCTGGTGACATATGAAGTCTCACACTCACATCCTGATTGGACATCTCCCAGTACGGCCGCTCTCCATAGGACATCACCTCCCACATGACAATGCCGTAGCTCCATGCATCACTGGCTGAGGAAAACTTTCTGTATGCAATAGCCTCTGGAGCTGTCCATCGGATCGGGATCTTTCCACCCTTATTAAAGTAAAAAAGACAGAATAAGAAAGCAGAGGTTAAGCCACCAATCGTTCATTATTAATAATTTAATAGCAGGGTATCCTAGACGTCACCCTGAGGTTACAAAGAGCAGCATTTTTGAATAATCAGCATTAGGAATACTTGACAGAACCTGATCCTGTTGTCTGTTAGTGTTTTTCTTTTAATGATCTCAAGTTTGTTTCCCACCAAGAGAAGATGATGAATTTTGGGTGAATTTGTTTTTTAGAAAAACTATAAAGACCATAAATTGTAATTTTTTGAAAAGCATTTTTTTCTACTAACAAGCCTGACTTTTTGTAGGAGAATTGAAACTTTTTAACGATCCTGAAAGTGACAAAGCTGTTCTTTTGCTGAGTCATCCTAGTTGATCCTTCAGTTTTCAGATGTCCACAGATACTGGAGCTAAAGAAGAAGCTTAACAGTGTGTCACATGTTTAGGCTTACTTCCAAATTTTGACCAAACATGATTAAATTGAGCTCCACAAAAGCTGTTTTGTTGAACTATTAACAGGTCCTATTAAAACAAATAGTAAACCTGCTAATGTTACCATAGAATGGAGGTCTTTAACAGGGGGTCCGTGACCCCTAGGCGATCCATGGAGGTACTGCATGGGGGTCGCCAAAGATTTGGTTTATTAGACTTTTTTTTTTTTTTTTATTGCCCCCTGCAATTTTTCCACTAATTGAAATGTCTTTAAATCCACATCAACATGAATTCAACACACTATAGTAAACAGATAAATGGAGGCAGAAGATGTCTTTCAGTCATCAATGTACACATTCAGCGACACACAGGAGCTCTTTCAAGCTGGGCACCGTTTCATTCACAACACCTGTCCCATCAACCAGGAATCAGAATCAGAAATACTTTAATAATCCCAGGGAGAAATTACCTTTGTTACATGACTCAATCTGTAATAGAGTGACTATAGAACCAGTTTGATACAACACAATATATATAATATAATTAGGGGGTCCCCGCTTCATCTCGCCATCAGTTTGGGGGTCCTTGGCCTGGAAAACTTTAAAGAACCCTGCCTTAGAACATTATCTCATATTTGACTCATGCTTTGATATAGAGAATTTCATAACCATCCATTACCGTATTGTGCAAGTAGGGTCAAGTAGGTTGAATACATTAAAGTTAGAATAGCTCTGTGTGTTGCTCAAAATAACAGATAAAAGATTTGATACACAAAAAAAAACAATTGTGAAATCACCAATGGCCCAGCAATTACAGTTTAAATGAATACCCAAAGTGTCTCAATACATCTTGAGATGTTTGACTACGAGAAATCAGGACCTCTTAAGACATTTGCGCAAATTAAGACCCCTTAAGACATCTAACGAAAAAAGACATGCACCTATCTTCTAAGATATGCAAGCGCAGAACATGGGATGCAGTCAGACAGAATTTAGTGTTTTGAAGACAACGAAGGTCTTGATACATATTAACACATCCGTTTTTGTCTTTCTTTTTTTGCCTTGGAATTTATTTGCTGCAAAATGCCCTACTTTTTTATTTTTTTCAAATACCAGCTTTCAAAACTTGACAATGGTGGTTTTATATCTCTAGATTCCATATGGCGCATTTACTTCTGCAGGGACAAAATTCTTCACAAAACTGCTACAATATAGCTACAACTAATTTATTGGTTATAAATAACCCCACTTTATGTTGTATGTTGTCCAACACAATAGAATTATTTTTTTACATTATTTGCACCTCTAAAGATTAAAGCTACAAAAGTGAGGCCTTGCATGTTACAATAAAAAAAGAAGACATGTTTTCTGTGCTTAATCTCCTTAAATTTCCATCAAAACTAACCTCTCTCAAATATATGCTTATTAACATTGAAAAAACTGAATCATCCCTCTCCTTGTGGTACTTGCTGCAGAAAGAAATAAAACTATATCATTAAAGCTCATCGCTTCAGCTTTAGTTTTAGAAAGGTATGAAATCCTATTTTAACTTAAAGTCTCATTAACCAAATGGCTCTGAAACTGCACAGGTTTAAAGATCCTAAATGTTCCTTGGCGGCTGTGAGTGGTTCAAATATTATTCCCTGGAGTAAAGAGCTCACATCTTAAAAGCATTTTCAGTAGGATTGTACTGAAGAGGTCTGAATCAGTGGTTATAGTTTTTATAGCTTAAATTCAGAGGGTTGGTTCCACATAGGATTGCTCACCTAGGATTCATGTTATTTTTCCAAAGTGAAAGTGCCTAACCACTAAGGCTGAAAATTAAAAAGTAATACCTTCGAAATGGACCACATCCTGTGAGAATTTAAAACACACCTAGGCACAAAAATACCGAACCAATAACCTTTAACACTGCCAACCAAAAAGCTCAATATTCTGAACCTCCTCTTTTAGCCTGAGATTTTATCCTGTCTTTTTACCTTTACCTTTCATTTCCCCTCTTTGGGGTTCAACCACGGACTGGTAGAACAGAGGGCTCTGCTCTGAGCCATAAACAACATTCCTTTGCACGAAAGCCTCAATACAAAGCATGAAATAATAAATGGTAAGATATCAGAGACACTGTCTTTTTGGCAGAGAAGTCTAGAGTCTAATTCAAAATATCTATATGTAACTAAACATAAACAGCTTTGGCCAGGCTCGGACTGGGAACGACTTTCAGCCCTGACATTTTTCCATCTACACCGCCACCTTCTTCACTTCAAGAATGAATATATGAAAGCTCAGCGGTGTATAAGCATTCAGCCTTTAAATGCAAAACCCCATCATGCACCGCAACATATTTTTTTCAAAATATTCAAACATAAATTCGCCATATATGAGAAGAACATCGTAGTTTGGTTTAAAGAAAGCATTTTTATGCTTTAATTTATTATAATTTAGTTTGTCCAAAGGATTTTACAGCTTGAAGAAATAGAAAATTCAACAATATGCCATCCGGGGATGACTCAGAATAGAGCCGCTGCTTCTCCACATCGAGAGCAGCCAGTTGAGGTGGCTCGAGCATCTGATTTGGATGCCTCCTGGACGTTTCCCTGGTGAGGTGTTCCAGGCATGTCCCACCAAAGGAGGAGGCCCAGGACACGCTGGAGGGACTATGTTTCTCGGCTGGCCTGGGAGCGCCTTGGGATTCCCCCGGAGAAGCTGGCCCAAGTGGCTGGGGAGAGCGACGTCTCGGCCTCCCTACTGAAGCTGCTACTCCCGCGACCCGACCCCGAATAAGCGGAAGAAGATGGATAGATGGACACAATATGCCAACCGTCACAAGGATGTTTAAGAGAAGGAAGGGCTATATATATATTGCATGCATCATTTAGGTAGGTAACATTACTGTCTCACAGGTAGGTGTTTTGGCAGGAGATTAAGCGTTGGGGCCAGTATGATTTAATTTGGGCCGGCCCTCACACGCTGAATTTAGTACCAGCCCACCGGGCACATGGCCGGTATCACAGATTACCAGTCCGTGCCTGGCTTTGGCACAAGCCGCACTTTATCTAAATACTATACCTTTCAATCTTATAAAAATTTTTATAATTGTACTCAGACTTTAAAGGGCATGTCATATTAGTAAGGATTTTCTCTAAGGGTGTTCATTTTTCTTTCTTCTATGCATTTTTTTTTTACATTTCTGTCTGCATGGGTGTATCAACAAAACATTATTATGGTCTCAATTACAGTGATTAGTTTGCTTATTTCCTTGTGACCCATTTAGATAACATGGGAGCTATAGGAGTGAAATCTCAGTCTCAGACACCGGTTGGCCTTTTTTTCTATCTTCTCATTCTTGCAAGAATGAATTGTGCCATTTCAATTGACTGTTACAATCTCCGATACGTAAAGTCATTGATCTGTACATTTTTATATATCATTTATAGTTTCCTTATGTCTAAAGAAGGCAACATTTTATTAAAACCTCCATCTAGAAATGAGATGTCTACTGTAAGATTGCCTCTTAATTTGAAGTTATGTTATAGAATGATAGATAAAGAGGATGTCTTTATGAAAATTTGGGGGGCTTACTTAGAAATTCTACAGTAAAATCTTGGTTTTTCTTTTCAGTTTTTCTGCTTTTCTGTTTTCTTTCTTTACTTTTCTCTTTTTATTTAACATTCAGTGAGGTACAAACACTTATAGTTTTATATATATATATATTTCGTTTTTTACATACTGTATAGAGTATAGCTATGTTAGTCAATATCTACAGTATCTGTAGTCCCCCCTGTTCCATTGTAGATGTTCAGTGTTTGTCTTTACTTCATTTATTTGCATAAAAACCAATAAAAAGTGAATTACAAAAACCCTCCGTCTAGAAGGTTATGCATTCATTGTACATGGTTTGTCTGTTTGTCCGTTAATAAAAGATAATTATCTATAATTAATAATAAAGTTATGGATGAATTTTGCTGTGATTTTCAGAGAAGAAACATATTGTGACTAGAAACATGATCCAACCTTGATTATGATCCAGATCACCATCTGGATCCAGGAAATTCTGTGACTACAGATATTTACTTAAGGTGGAAGTCACAATATGGCGGGGGAAGATAGCTACTTGGTGAATGTTGGAGCGATGCGAGTGCTTTTGTAGTTTGACCTATAACTGGAATCTGAACTTAAATTCATTTCCACTCTAATTTTTGGACTACCGGTAGTTAAATTTTTAAGGCATCAAATATGTGTATTGGAAACACAAGCCATTTAAAAATCATTATAATCTAATTACTATTTGTGTTAGATTTCACTATATTGCTTGCAGTGCGTTGCATTGTGTCACAGCTTACCGGTACATACGTTTGATTTCAGCACATTATATGGATCTTATTGTGTAATGTTCCAATACATCATATCATACTATCATTTCTTCATAAAACCAATTTTATATCACTTTACAAGATATAAAAAAAGCTAAGACAAAGGCGTTTTCTTTTAAAATAAAATATATACATTCATATGGATGTTGTTTTATAACGTTTATACTATGAAATTTTAGTTTGGCTAAATAATAAGATTCCCAAACAAGAAACAAACTACATAAAAAAAACTTTGCATTAAGGTTCACCTTTTGATTTTAGGATCTTAATTCTGGATTTAGGTAAAATTATCAAGACAGAAGCATTTTCTGGTTATTTTAGCAAAAGATAAGCATTAATGTATGCTTGTGGAAATAAAGAACACAAATAATGAATTTAACAAATGTTATTCAGCTTTAAATGCTATCTATTTGAGGTTTATGTCCTCAGATCCACTGAAATAACCAATAGAGAGGAATACAAGATTTAAGATTTTCGGTGCAATAATTCATGAATGTCTTTTTTCTGTTTTGTTGTGCCACAGGTACCGTTGTGGTGTAAGCAGCCTCAGGGTCGTCCTCCAGCACTCGGGACAGGCCGAAGTCTGACACTTTGCATACTAGATTGCTGTTGACAAGGATGTTTCTGGCTGCCAGGTCTCTGTGAACGTAGCCCATGTCTGACAGATACTTCATGCCTGAGGCGATGCCACGCAGCATGCCGACCAGCTGGATGACAGTGAAGTGACCGTCGTGTTGCTGCCAAAGAAAAATTGGACACATTCCGAGAATTAAAAGAGAGAAAGAAACTCCTGGAATTTATCCCAGTCTTTATTTAGAATGTACTGCATAGACCAACATGGGGTGATGCAGGGGTGCCCACATCCAGTCCTCGACGGCTACCATCCTGCATAATTTAGTTGCAGCTCTGCTACACAGCTGAATCTAACAACTGAGGTCCTTCAGCATGTCATTCACCCCATCAGGGGGCCTGGGATTGAGACACAGGTGTATTGGGGAAGGGATAAATCTAAAAACTGCAGGTGTTTGCCTTTGAGGACTGGACTTAGGCACCCATAAGGTAATGCATACCTTTGAAGTGAAGGAAAACAATTCATTCTCATTGCAATTCTAAAGCATAAAGCTGCTATCACTAAGGTTCAAGGACACTGCGAGAGACTTTGCCTTTTTTTGTCACTCACTCGGAACAAAAAGAAGCAACAAATTCCCACACCGGAGCTGTAGATTTCTGCAACTCCTCCAAAGTTATCATGAGCAGCTAAGATCGTTCTCTGATGTATGCTCTACCGGCTTTGTCAGTTTTAAGAGGACTGCCATGTAATGGTACATTTGTAATATGTCAAACTCTTTCTATGCTTGGGTGGATTGAACAGTGTTCTGTTAGATGCTGAAAGTTTTTATACTTTTACACAATCTATCTGTTGCTTTAAACCTCTCCACAATATTATCCTGGCTTGTCCAGTGAGGTCTTCGGTCTCTTGGCTCACTGTAATTCTCTACAATTGTCCTTGAGGCCTTCATAAAGAAGCCAAATTGATACTTAATTATATAAAAAAAACTCCAAAAATAGTGAATCCTGAAAGAAATAAGTTACACTGGAGCTTATTTTAAAGTTTTTGAGTAAAGGGGGGTGAATACAAATTCAAGACACTTTTTTAATTTCCATTTGTGAAAATCCATTAAAAACAGTTTAGTAAATTTCTTTCACTTCACCAATGTGCACTAGTTTGCGTGGGTTTATGACAGACAATTCAAATGGGGTACATTGCAGCTTGTGGTTGCTTTGGGGAAAATGTGAAAGAGATCAGCAGGCATGAATAATTTTTCAAGGTACTTTTTATATCAAAAGAACAAACAATAAGAAAGTGGTTTACTAAGAATTATGTTAGCTATAAAATGACATGACAATATGCTCCAGCAAATATATTCCATTATTCATGAGTCTGCAAGCAAGGTATTATCATGATGTTGGCACAAAGATAGGCTGAAGGTACTAAAATATATTTATGGCTAAGGCCATACTCATGAGGACATAATCGTAATATGTTGAACACTCACTCTAAGGAATGAGTCCAGTGATCCATTTTCCATGTACTCCACGACGATCATCACAGGCCTGCCTGCAAACACACAGGAAAAACACACATCCTGTTAACCCTATTAATCAGATTTTTCTTTCCTTTTCAAACTTCATTTGCTATCAACTAAGGCAGATGCAGAAGGCAGAGTGGTTAACAACCCACAATATGTCAGGACATATATTCTGTAAACAAGAATTGCAATGTTTGCTGTAAATAAATCAGAACAGTCATCTGGTTAACACTTATGAGGCACAGTAGTCTCTAACATTCACGGACAAATTCCCTGCTGGAAAAATACTGCACTTGAGTCCTTAGAAAGAGAAATTAAGCTAAAGTTCCTTTTTTTCTCCTTTTAAATGTTCAGCCTGCAACACAGGAACAGATCAATTATTTAGTCTATGTTGAATACAAAACAGTTCAGAAGGAGCTCCAAACGGGCTGCTTTGAAAATGAAATCCTAATGGTGTTAATAATAGAGTGTTTTAGTAAAAGACAACTGTCAATGTCTGTTTGCTGGTAAGGATTAAACTAATCATCATAGATCCTGGTTTCATAATTCTATTTAAAGTTACCTAAAAAGTGTAGAACATTGAGATGTCAAGATGTAATATTGTAAAGCATCATTACTATTTACTTATAATCCCTGTTTGGCTAAAGCAGTAGCAAGACGAATAAAAGAAGTCACCAGTTTGTTGACAAGGTCAGCTTTAGCTAAAGAGATGAATCTGACAGATAGCTCCACTAGCATTATTCACACATTAGATGCATTATACAGATCAACATGCTCATCAAAGTTAAAAAATAAAAAATGAGGAAATCCAATATTAACCTTTGCCACTCTAGTAATAAAACACCTTAGATATTACAGCAAAAATGTGTTGAAAAGTAATTATTGGGTGACAGTAAAATATCTTCAAAAATCTCTGCAGCTTTTAGATGTGTTCATGTAAGGAAAAGGGAGTTAGATGGACTCATACAAGATGCTATTTCACATCTGTTTTATTCCAAATAAGACAAATTAGTCCTAATTACCTTAATTTTATGACCTTTGATCAGATGCAGGATTAATTGCTTAGGAAGTTACATTTGGACTAAATACTGAATCTGTAGTTTTACAAAAATTGTCACACCTCAGTCTTTAATACGGTAAGTTTAGTTGGATAATGTATCTGACAAGTGAGGTTTCAGTATTAGGGACAGTGTAAAAGTAACATATTTAAAGCACTCAATAATAATAATAATAAAAAAAAAATAATAATAATAATACTTCTCTTCATTTCTCATCTTACTGAGATACATTTTTTTGTTTGAGTTTGAATAGCAATCATTCCGAAATCTCAGCAGAGTAGATTATTATCTACTATGAAACAGAGACAGTTTTTCAAAGCTCCGGTTCCTGATAAGAACTAAACAGTACTCACAGATGCAATTCACTTTTCTTTTTCAAGTATCCTGTGTGTGTCCTTTTGGTTGGTCCCATATTTGGGGATTGCCACAACAAGTCGTTCAGACTAATAATTAGTGCTGCGTCAATGCTACTTTTTGGCCCCAATACAGATACCACACCGATATTGTATTTGAAATGTATATCTGTGTATATATGAAGAACTGCATACTACTTGGATGTAAAATAATTGTCATCATGGCTTTGTAAAGCTGCTGCCTACCTTTGTGAAGCAGAGACCCAGAGTGGCAGTCTGTGGGAGTGGATTTCAAACTCACAACCTCAGGATTCCAAGCTCTATACCCCAACCACTAGGCCGCCACTCCCCAAAGACTTAGCAAAATTTTTACAGCAGATGCCTTTCATGACACAACTGGAATTTGAACTCAGGTACTCCCACATTAAGAGCACAGATTTTAATCAGTTCACCATGGGGACTTTTTCTTTAACAGTAGCCCCCTTCTTCTTGCCTTAATGCATAGTTGCACATTATTTTAAAGGTTTTTAAAAATGCTGGCCAACCATAATACATTTAATGTAATAATATATTGCAATCCGCTTTCCTGATGCTCTTTCCTTCGTGGTTTATATAGTGCAAATAGTGTGATATCTTTATATTTGCATTAATTTTTTAGAAAAATTCACCATGACAAAGGTCAGATCCATTCATGCTTTCGTTTTGTCTCTAATTTAATGATAACCAGTTCGATGCCTTTTTGCTCAGTTTCCTTTTCCATTTTTATTATGATCTGCTTTACTATACCAGCTCCCCCAACTTTATGTTATTTGAACAAAGGCAAGCGGCCAAACAATTAATCTGAATGCGTGCTTTATAATAAATCTGACCTCAACTTCAGTGTTAGGGTTTGTTAAGACAGATCTCGGAGATACTGCTTTTAATTAAAACTAGCTTTGTCGAGCAGAGAAAGCAATAGTTAGCTGTTTTATGCATTAAAGTTTGTATGAGTTTGCGTGTTTACCTACTGCATGTTTTGCATCTACTTTATTGCCATAAATTGCAATGAAATCATAAAACAATTTTCACAAGTATAAGAGATTTACTTTATAGTTATATAAAGCTTATTACGATTGGAAGATAAGAGCCTGACAGTGCTAATTAAATACACTACAATGTTACGTTCATCACAGAACAGTTCAATTCAGTTTATTCATATAGCGCCAATCCACAGCACATGTGATCTCAGGTCACTTTACGGAGACAATTCAACCAGATCATACCGTCAGATTGGTTCAAAGTTTTCTATCTAAGGAAAAGCTGTTGAATGCATCGACTCATTAACTTGTGTGGATTGGAAACCCCTCAATGAGCTGCAGACTCCTGGATTCCAGAACTGTTCCTGTCTGATCTGTATCCCTGACCTGGATCGGATTCCTGCCTGCTCGCTGAGGTTTCTGCATCGGGGACAGTCTGGGTGGCTCTGCGCCATAGCTCGTTTGGTAATCCATTGACTGGAGCCTGTTTTCTTCGAATCCTATCCTTCCCTAATCCGATCCTTAACTGTAATGAATCCAATCTAAAATTCCACATTTCTACAATTAAAAAAACCCAAGGTAAAAATTTTCTAAGTGAGCTGTAATTGTTGGCTGCTGATTAAGCAACAGCTGAACCTCTAAGATTTAAAACAACTGTTGCCTCATCATAAGCTCACTCGGAAAAAGTTTTGGACTTATCTCAAAGTTGCTTATTAATTGATTAAAGACAGATGAAAACTGGGAGTATGACTAGATAAATGCATGACAGGTCAACATACCCATGGTATCTTTAACTAACACAAAGCCATTTTTTTAAGCTGTTCATAATGAAACATGCACCAGATCCAAAACACAGCATAATTTAGAAAACAGATGGTGAAAGCATGGGCTTTTGAACAGCATCGTGTCTTTGTTGTTTTTTTATTCCTGCAAAGCGCCAATGACACATCCCTTGCTGCGTCTTCCAAGTCATACTGGCTGCACAGCGTGTCACTATATTCACTGGAAAGGACTAATCTAATGTTGTCTTTTGTAAATCATGAGGTAATCCTTTTAGCGTGTTCTTGCAGAGGGGAACAAAAAAATGCATTTTTTTTTTTATTTGGACAGAAATGAAAGCTAAATAAGTCTCACGCTTGTCAGGGGAAAATAGAAGTGTAATCCTGGATGGTTTGAAAGTGTGCTGTTCTGTGGAATCACACCTTGCTTGAGGCATTGGAGTCACAGTTTCTGGCTTTTTAATTTGCAATATCATATCACAGACATCCTAAATCTGCTGATGCTCTCTCGCCACCAAATCCAGTCGGGACCGAAAAGAAATAATTTGATCAAGCTTAGATTTTCCTGAGCTAATTGGAAAGATCTGGAAACAATATAGAGTTAAGCAGTGCGGCTACCTGAACAAAAACAAACGCACCTGTTTATCGCAATCTAATATGTCACCTGTTTTTTTCAAAGCAGGTATGGCATTCAGTCACAGCACAATACTCTCCATAATTAGTCTCCGAAGAACAACAGCAGATGGAGGAAGTGATAGAGAATGAAGAAAAGACAAACTAGGCAGACAGGCGGACGGGGAGAGTTTACCCAAAATAAATTCAATGTGATGCCCCACTGACAAACACAAAAGGCTTTAGATTGCATGATTTGATGTGCGTAGTGTGCTGCGAGTGCAAATTTCACAGACAGTTTTGGGAATCCGTTTGCTCTTAGAACTTTTTCTCCTCCACTCGCAGATGAAGATAATAAATCTTTAGAATAAAACACCTCCTCCTTAATGACAGTAGTGGGGCTATGCTTTAAGGCACTGATGGATTTATCTTGATCTTGCTGCTGTTTTTACAATAAATGAGCGTATAAAATCCCCCAGGCTATACTTTTAGAAAAGTTATTAAAATTCAAAGAAGTTCAAGAAAAAGCTCAACAAAATAAAATTGTGGTTTCAGAGTGATTATTATAAAGCTATCCCAGGAAACGGAAGTAAAAATGTACAGAATTACTGCATTGTTTTTTCTGGGTCGGGAGGTCAATCAGATAAGCTTTTCTGAAACCATTATCTGATCTATTAAACAGAACCTTTTAAAAAATCAGTGTTAATTATTCAATAATAAAAAAAGAAACCATAAAAATTAGCAAAAAAAAAAAAAAACAGAAACAATGGCCCATCTCAAATTTGTCAACATCTTGATGTTCATTGATGTTTCAGGAAAATATTCAATAATCTGACCATGAGACAGTGAAGGAGCTGAACCTGCCCCACCAGAACAGTTTTCTCCCCACATCAGCTTAGCTAGTTAATTTACAGAAATTTTAGACGGCAAAAAAAGTTATTTACTACACCTGGTAATAAAATTCAGAAGGTGTGGGCCGCTTTTAAAGAACATAATGCCAACAGTCAGACATAGTGACAGAAGTGTGATGGTCTGGGTTTGCTGTGTTGCTTCAGGGTTTGTACTGCATGGTTTTCAGTGATTAATGGACCCATGAATTTCTCTCTCAGGCAGAAAATCCTAAAGGAGAATGTCGGATCATTAGTTTATGACTTTGACTCCAAGCACATTTTCTTTTTTTTTCCCCAATTACCCAAAGGATATAAACAGGC